AACAACAACAACAACATTTTAGATATATAGGCATTTCCAGAAGTGTAGTACTTAATGGAAAAAAACCAAGATCCTGACTTTTTATATTTTATTTTTGCATCACCTACTTCCCCTGAAAGATTGTTTTTGCAGGTTCAGAAGAATCACTAGGCCAACTAGGAAAATATCAAAACATTTTCTATATGGAATTCTGCCATGTCAATCTCCTCCATAACATTCAATATTATCAATATTTCCCCTGAGATGTCAGGTTAAGCACCAGTGAATGAGATAAGCCCCAGATGTTGTTTTCCAGAAACTTAGCCTCAGTTTAAAAAGATATGAAGCTATAAATAATGGAGGATATTCTCAGTGCTTTCAGTCTGGGATGGAGTGAATGGTAGAAAGGTCTTCAGGAGCTTTAAACCACCTTCAAACATTAGTGGCAAAAAGTAAAATACGTATGTGTATTGAGTCTAGATCGAAGTAACACAATATTCAAAGACACTTCCCACCATGGGACACAGGCAGTCCTCCTCTGGCCCAAGAACAATGATTAGAGGTCCTCTAGGTCAGTTAAATCCACAGCCACTTTCAGGAAGAGGGTGTCATCTTTAATGTAGGTGTTCTTGGTGCTCTCCAGTATGGAATGAGCCACAAAGCGGGGACAGCCAGATGCGATGTTCATCTCCCCATCAGGTCTTTTGAAGCTGCTGCTATTGGGGTCAGCCCTGAAGGTCTCTATAATGTGGTTCTTTTTGCCGCTTTGGTCCAAAAGCATCAGAGTCACTCTCTGTCTGAATGGCCACTGCAACAGTGAGTCAAACTCTCCTCGCATCACCACAAAGTACAGGGACAAGTGTGTCCCCTTCCCGGACCCGTCCCCATTCAGGTAAGCTCTAGCGCAGAGCCGGTAGCCACATCGGCTGGTGTAGAAGGGATGGCTGAAGATGGAGACTGTGTGCCCATCCACCGCCTCCCTCTTCTTCACCTTATAGTCTGTCACCTTCCAGATGAGCTTTCCATTATAGCAGGCACCCTCCAGCAGTTTAAATCTCTCTTCGTTTTTATTCAGCTGGGCTTTATGAATATTAATGTGGGCATCATGTTTGTTAGTCTGGCCTTCCAGAACCACTGCAAAGAAAGGAAAACAAAACAAAACAAAACTGAAAGATTTTCCACAGGCCTATGTATTAACTTTATTAGAATTTACCCAAAGCAGAATTTTATTACCTACAGTTCTCACACCCTCAAGAGCAGCTGAAGCCAGAGTTAACAAATGAACCATTTAAGTTTATAATATTAACTCCATGAACCTCATGTCTTGATAAATATGTCACTGTTGTTGTTCTTCATTGCCACTGGGTTGAGCACAACTCATTGAGACTCTATGAACGAAAGACCTGAAGCCTTTTTATCAATATCGTCATTTCTCAAAGTTCATAGAGCTTCCAGAGGCATGTTGTTTAGGAAGTGGATGCCACTCCTGTTTCTAATAATAGAACTAAGAAAATTCCAATGTGTATAATTAAAGGTTGACATTCAAGCAGCATGTGTTTGTATGGCAAGCTTATTTCCTCACTGAATCTATTTTTTAAAAAAAAAAATAGAATGAAAATTTACAAATCATATTAATTTTTCATTCAATCAGTCATGCACACTTTGTTCTATATCATAAATTGTTGTTATTGTTGTTGAGTACTGTTGAGTCGGATCCAACCCATAGCTGACCCTCCAGGGGGTTTGCAGAGGCAGTTAATTGCACGGGAGATTG